ATAAAATATATATTTTTATAAAAAGTCAAAAGAAGGGGCTAGAGAGATGGCTCAGCAGTTAAGAACACTGGTTGTTCTTGCAGAAGACCTGGGTTTGAATCCCAGCGCCCACATGGCAGCTAATAACTGTCCATAATTCCAGTCCCAGGGGATTCAACAGCCTCTTCTGACCTCCGCGGGCATTGCACGACATGGGTGCACTGACCTACATGCAGGTACCACACGCATACACATAAAATAAAAAATTAAAAAAAAAAAAAAGCTGGGCATGGTGGTGCACACCTTTAATTCCAGCACTGGGGAGGCAGAGGCAGAGGCAGGCGGATCTCTGTGAGTTCCAGGCCAGCCTCGTCTACATATTGAGTTCCAGGACAGCTGGGGCTACAGGGAGACCCTGTTTCAAAAAGATCGGAAAAAAAAAAAAAGTCAAAAGAAAGAGAGGGTTCGGCATCACCATGTCTTCCATTCTGCCCTAAGGATAAGCCCTGCTCACATGGGGCCTCACGAGACATCCCCTCCAATATGCCTTCTCTCCTGGACCCATCAGGGTATGTATCAAGAAGGGAGAAGAATTCAATAAGAAACTTACAACCAGGATTTGCTTGTCCCTTTCATAGTTTCCAAGTCTCCTTTGCATCTCGTTCATCTCATCCCTTGCTTTTTGCAGAGGGTCTGCCAGGCACCTGTTCTGCAAAGACACCTCTGCCATCTCCCTCTCCAGATGCTTTTCTTTCTTCCGCATGTCCTCCACCTGTTCCTGTGATCACAGTGCAGATGCAGCAGGGACTTAGCCTAGAGAGCACTGGCTAAATGGCATTTATTTATTTATTATGTATCTGTGTTTGTGTGTAGTATATGTATTTGAGTGAGGGTGCCCATGCCACAGCACACATGTAGAGGTAAGAGGACAACTTTAGGGAGTCAGGTCTCTCCTTCCAGCATGGGTTCTAGGATTCAAATTCAGATCATCTGGTTTGCATGGAAAACCCTTTTACCTACTGAGACATCTTGCCAGCACCTTTTCTCTGGTGTTTGTTTGTTTTTGAAACAAAGTCTCATTATATAAATCAGGCTGGTTTGGAACTTGAGATCCTCCTATCTTTACCTCCTAAGTACTGGGATTACAGGTTTGCGCCACCATATCTAGCTCTGGATGCCCTAATTAAAAACAGATCCTGCTAGTCGCATGATGAGGACCCAGTCTTGTTTTACATATTAACAGTATTTTTGCAATACTGACCTATCCTGAATTATATAATATAAATCCTGGCTGGGCATAGTGGCGCACGTCTTTAATCCCAGCACTTGGGAGGCAGAGGCAGGCGGATCTCTGTGAGTTCAAGGCTAGCCTGGTCTACATAGTGGGTTCCAGGACAGCTGGGGCTACAGGGAGACCCTGTCTCAAAAAGAAAAAAAAGAATATAAATCCCATGCAGACTGAGAGGTTACATTTTGCTTAGACCTAAGGCCATTCTCTACTGTGAAAACCCAGTCAGTGTCAGCACTTAGAGATGATGACAACTGCCAACTCTGGCCACATTTCAGCCAATATGTGATGTCTACCGTAGCTCTGATTAGGCACATACATGGCAGAACACCTTTTAAGTTATTCCCTCCCCTACATTATAGTTAGGGAAATATCAAGATGATTTTCAGTTACACTGTGGCTACCTTACATTACTTATGAATTTCAAGTGAGGATAACAGACGGATACTGTCCACCATTCATATAGAAAGGAGTGTTGGGTCTGGTAGGGTTGAAGGCTGGATCTGGATTAGTACCTTAAGGGAACTGATGAGAGCCAGGTTGTTGAGGGTAATGTCATTGTAGTAGTTCTTGATATCAGTGAAAGCCTCCTCATGACGCTGCATCAGCAGATTGATCTGGCCATTCTTCCTCTCCTCCACTTCATGGATCTCAGTCTTTCTCCGCAGGTCAAGCTCATCTCTCAGCATCTTCATTTTCTTATCATACTTGGCCTCAATTTCTGAAAGGCAGCAGCATATTTAGCAGCTTAGAAGAACAGGTACCTTGAGCTACAAGAAAAGATGGAACATATAATGCCGGTGGCACACACCTTTAATCCCAGGGGAGGCAAAGGCAGGCAAATCTCTGTGAGATAGAGACCAGCCTGGCTTACATAATGAGCTCTAGGCCAGCTAGGGCTACAGGGAGACTCAAAAAATAAAAAAAATAAAAAAAATTTAACCCAGCACAGAACTGTGGAAATGAACAGCAGGTCCCAATCTTAGTTGAGGAATTACTGGCAGCTGATTACTGCTGGGTGAGAAATAATTGATATTCTTGAAGGGAGAGACTCTAGATAGGCTGACTAAACTCCAGTGGATGAACTTGCACTAAGCACTGAGGGACGTCTGGGGACACTAGCTTTACATAGGCCTTAACACAAGTAACAGAATGTATAAGCTCCAGTGGGGGGCGGGGTGCTATGGGAGGGTGCCAAAGGGGAAGGGGGTATAAAGATGATTTTCTATATGAAATACACAAAAATTCAAAAAAAAAATTTTTTTAAGATGGAACCTATAAGCAGTGCCCAAGAATACCCACCAGGTCAGAATAGAGGCTGCAAAGACAACACTGCCAAAGAGTCAGATGAGTTTTTGAGGGAGCTTTTCCTACTAGTGTTCACAGGTGACATATTCAGCACCTAGGCCACTGTCACCTTTCCTCTGCCCATGACAATCAATGTTTGCACTTGGTCTCCCAAAACTAATGCAGTGAGCAATAACTACAGTCAGTGTAGCCATATAGCAATAGACTACAGGGCTTGGTTACTAAACCAAATAGACCTCTGACAATGGAGGCTTTTCAAACCACAAGCCAAAGAGAAAACTACATTCTGTTAACTGCTTATTTTAGACAGGAATGAGTTTATATGGTTTACATGCCCTGAGTTACCAAGCTCTGATGGGACAGGGGTTCCTGACACCAACCTACATGGTATATATTTGAGAAACTGACCTCGAACTTGTCTTTCAAAGTCACTCCGCATCTTGGTGAGCTCCTCAGCATGTTTCTGCACAGGTGAGAAGATGTTACTAGAAAGCCAGAGAGAGAGAGGCCCATATCCCTTAGGCCAAGCCTATTCCCCACCCCCTGGGAAAATTCAGTTCAGTAAACCCTATGCTGCTGCTTACTGGATTCTGCCCAGAATAACACGGCTTTGGTAACCTCCACATTTCATAACTCACTTCCCTCAATGAGATCACCTTTGAACCTGAGCGACAGTAAGATATGAGAACTGAACATGGCTTAGTTTCTTCACCTAGCTTTCCCATAGCCAGAAAGCAGTAACCACATCTACACAGAGCAATGGGCTCCCTCAAGGAGACTTACAAATCTCCTGCTAGCTGGTCTCACTATTGCTTAGAACAACATTCAAACATTTCAATAAGCAATTACAGACAGGTGTAGTGGTGCATGCCTTTAATCCCAGCATTCAGGAGGCAAAAGCCCATGTATCTCGGTGAGTTCAAGATCAGTCTGGTCTACATACAAGCTTCAGGCCAGCCAGGGCTACACAGTGAGACCCTGCCTAAAAATATATATATTAAAATTTTGGATAAAAAATTTGCTTATTAGCTGGGCATGGTGGTACACGCCTTTAATCCCAGCACTTGGGAGGCAGAGGCAGGTGGATCTCTGTGAGTTCAAGGCCAGCCTGGTCTACATAGTGAGTTCCAGGCCAGCTGGGACTACAGGAAGACCCTGTCTCAAAAAAAAGAACAACAAAAAAAATTTGCTTATTTATTTGTTAGACACTTTGGATCACATAACATCCTTGAATTAACAAGGACAACCTCCTATCTCTGAGATATCTTAAATGAGTACTCTGTGCGTCTCAGCAAAGATCAGATAATTCCAGGGGGTCTAAACACCTGCACACTCTGATGCCTTCTACAACACCACTGAGTTTTGTCCAGCATCCCTTGAGGCTGGATGGTTTTCAGATATGAGGCAAACGGATCTCAACTAGGAAGAACCTGTGTGATGGTTAGAGACAATTGTCAATTTGACAGAATCTAGAACCACCTGGGAGTTGGGCCTCTGGGCATGCTGTGAAGATTATCTTGATTTGTTAACTGAGATAAGAAGACTCACCCACTGTGGGTGGCACCATTCCCTTACTAAGAGCCTGTACTGTATAAGTGGACAAAGGGAACTGAACATGAGCATGTATTCATCACTCTGCTTTCTGATAGTAAATGCAATGTGACCAGCTGCTTCAAGTTCCTGCTGCCTTGATATCCCTGCCATGATGGACTGTACACTTGAACTGTGAGCCAGAATAAACCCTTACTTTTGTTAGGTATTTTATTACCACAACAGGAAGTGAGACAACCTGTGAAGCTAAACTGAGACACATCTTTCCTATCCCAAATTTTCAAAAGGTCCTGAATGACCCCAAGTCAAAGCCCAGTTCTCACAGTGGCTTCCAGGCAAAGAAACTCTGACCCATCCCATCAACCTCCTTATTTCTTGCTCCTCTAGACTTAGACTTTCTCAGTGGCCATCTCTTCTCCTAGGCTAGTTTCCCTCAGGCAGGCCACCTATGTCCTTCCAGCCTTTGCCCAAAGGTTACTTTTTAAATGAGGCATTGAGAAACATTTGAGGCATTTCTGCAAACTCCTCCCCAACTCTTTCCAGTTCCCCAAACCATCCTATTTTGTTCTTTCTACTGACTTCATCTCCATAGGCTACACATTGCATGCACTTGACAGTTACTTTCTCTTCTACCTCTTGTTATCTTTCTCCTTTCAAGACCCTCAGCCCTACTTGGGCAGGCATTTGTTAGCGAGCAGGTCACGGCTAGCACAGTAAGTGACTCTTTCTCCAGTCTTCACCTGGAAACTGCAGCGTCCCTAAGAAAGAATTAATCCCAGCCTCAAATATAATAAACCCTCACAACGTGATACTAGCCCTCATATCATGGCCTTGTCCTTCACCAAACCCCGCCCACTCTCACCAAAAAAGATAACTAGCCCAGGTGTCGTGGTGCACATTTTTAAAGAACTAGTTCATACCAGGCATGGTGGTACATGCCTTTAATTTCAGCACTTGGGAGGCAGAGGCAGACGGATCTCCATGAGACTGAGGTGAGCCTGGTTTACATAATGAGTTCTAGGCCAGCTGGGGCTACAGGGAGACCCTGTCTCAAAAAGACCAAAAAACAAAAAAAAAACAACAAAAAGAACTACTTAAACAATACTACATTCAATGTCTCCACATTCCATCAACCACAGTTACCTTCTTGTACCTACCAGCCGCAGGTTCTTTATCACCACCTCATTGGCCAGCTCCTGCTCCTTCAGCTCCACCTTCAATGTCCGCATATCCTTACGCAATGTACTCTCCTGTGTGCGGTGCTCCTTCTGGGCCAGCTTCATGACTACAGTACCCTCAGCCTTCACCTCTGCCAGGTTGTTCTGGTGCTCATACAGTAAGTGCTTCACTTTCTGCTTGTACACCTGCAAGGGGGTGGGGGGTTCCACCTATTCATCTGAAGCACCAAGTAGGACACCAAGATTGCCAGGTGGGGTTCATGCCCAGCTCACATGGAACTAAGTGGAGAGTCGGTCTGCAGAGAGATTGGCTTGCTCATACTCCTGCCATGTCACAGAGGCTATGGTCAAACACTCAGGACCTGTAGGGCCTCTTCTGCTCTGGAAAGATGGAACTGCTTTCCCTTGGCCTCTTCAAAGACTGTTCAGAGGTTCTAGCAGGGGAACACAGTCATTCATATACCCTCCAGGAGTATATAACCTTTTGATATTGTGACAGGACATTGTACTCTATAAAGTTCATATGCCAGAACTGCTCGATCAAATTATTTTTAAAAACTGCCCAAAAAAAACCTCATGTTTTTTGTTTGTTTGGCGATAAAGTCTCATATAGCCTAGGATGATCTCAAACTCCTTACGTAGCTCAAGCTGGCCTTGAATGCCTGATCCTCCTGCCTCCACCTAGGATTACAGGCATGTACCACCACACCCAGCTCTATAATGTTTTAAATAAGTTTGCAACTTTTTTTAAATTTTATTATTTTTGTTTTATGTGTATGCATGTATTGCCTGCATGCAGGTAAGCGTACCCGTGTCATACAATGCCCATATAGGACAGAAGAGGCTGTCAGATGCCCTGGAACTGGAGTTACGAACAGTTGTTAGCTGCCATGTGGGTGCTAGGATTCGAACCCGGGTCTTCTGCAAGAACAGTGTTCTTAACCACTGAGCCATCTCTCCAGGCCCCAATAAGTTTGCAATTTTATGTTCACTTGCATTCATAGCTATATTTGATCCCATGTAGTCTACACACTACAGGTTGGCACACCTGCACCTAGTTCGTACAACAGTCCTCCTCTATCAGGGTCAGTAGTCCTCTTGAACCTAGCAGGCAGCTTCAGAAGGGACACAAATGGAGCCAGCTGAATTAGCAGAATCGACCCTGGTGATCAATGGGGTAACAGGTGTTAACAACCTGATTACTGTCATACTCTTCCTCAGCCTCTTTTACTTATTTATTTTTTTATATGAATGAGTGTTTGGCTTGCATATATGTCAGTGCACCTGTGTCATGCAAATACCAGCAGAGGCCAGAAGAGGGTGTTGGATCCCCTGGAACTGGAGTTATGGATGGTTGCTAGCTGCCATGTGGGTGTGGGAACCAAACCTAAGTCCTCTGGAGGAGCAGCCAATGCTCTTAACCACTGAGCCATCTCTCCAGCCCCCAAAACACTGATTTTCCATTTTTTTTTTTTGAGACAGGGTCTCCCTGTAGCCCCAGCTGTCCTAGAACTCACTATGTTGACCAGGCTGGCCTAGATCTTACAGAGATCCACCTGCTTTTGCCTCCCAAGTGCTAGGATTAAAGGCATGCACCTCAGTCTCTATTAGAAAAATTATCAGGTTTCTATCCCAAAAAGCACAAGCAAAGGACTATGCCTCCAAAGAGGAGGAGGAAATGTCTCCACCCCAACCTGTTCCTTTGCTGCTGCACCATGTAGGCACAGCCAGGCCAGCTCCACTCACCTTGATCTCCACCTGGTGTCTCTCCTCTGCCTCCTCCATCTCTCGGTCTTTGTTTCGCAGCTCAGCCTTCTTCTCCTCCAGCTGCCTCCTCGTGATCTCCCAGAAGGTGTGGATTTTGTCACGCTCCAGTTGGAAGTAGTTGCGCTCCTCACGCTCTCGGTCCAGCTCCTCCCGAATGCGGCTGACATGTTCCTCAACCTGACTAGGCACAGGGCATCAAGTGAGGCATCCTGCAGGGGCCCATCCACCACCAGGGCATGTGAGCAAAGAGAGGCAGAGAAGAAGGAAGGACCTTTTTACCAAAAGTTAAAATACAATGCAGGAAGGCTCCAGAAACAGGATATACTCAATAAATAGAAAAATTCTCTCAAATTTGGTCAATAATTACATAACAATTATCTTTTCATCAACTCCTGAATTCTCTTTTTTGTTTTATTTTAGTTTTGGTCTTTTTGAGACAGGGTCTCCCTGCAGCACCAACTGGCCTGTAACTTACTATGTAGACCAGGTTGGCCTTGAACCCACAGTGATCCACCTGCCTTTGCCTCCCAAGTGCTGGGAACAAAGACTTGCACCATCACACCCAGCCTAACTCCTGAATTCTTTTAAGAAACTTCTGAAAAGAAACACAAGCATCTTTTTGCTAAAAGAAAGCATTACTATTATTAGTAACTGCAAAAAATTAAAAAGGATTCACAATTTTAAACAGGAAAGTGGCTGAAAATTAGAATATTTCAATTGCAAAAAATATTCTATGGTACAAAAAATAGATATGAAAATTATATAGCACCATGTAAACATCTCCACAAAAGGTTAAATAGAAAAGAAAAAGAGCACTGAAAATATTTAATGTTAAACAAAAATTATACAAAACCAGTAGACTCCTAACATTCAACAGACTTTGGTCTGAAGCCAATTATAAATCTGCAAATAGGTTAAAGAAAAAAGTAGGACAAGCTTCCAGTCTTCTTGGGCTCTCACTTCCCTTGAGAATTAGTTATCTTTGGGCACAGCCCCAGGACACTTACTGTAAAGTGTCGGAAAAAATGACAGGTGTCTTCACATCATGAACCTTTAGTGTCACTCAAATAGTCACAAACAGGATTCTAATTCTGTTTGACTCACATGGTATCAGAGTTTACTATCCTTTGATATTTGGATTTCTTATAAATATCGAAATTCTCATTATCTCTTGAAAAATCAGAAAACAAAAAACAATGGAGTTCAGTATCTATAGGGAAACCACCCTGTAAACTGACTGCAACTGTCATCCCAGCCCTATCCTCCTGCTGGACCCCTGAGGCTTCTAAGACTTTGTTTAAAACATATAGTAATGAAGGCCAGACCCTGCTCTGCAGATTGTATATGTACTGGGACCACTACAACATTAAGGTTCAATCTCCACAGATGAGAAACAAAGAGGGCACAAGCAGCAGCAAGTTGAGGCAACGTGAAATTCAGTATATTCTCCATCCATCACCTGAGTCAAAGCAGAAACTAGATCCCTACTATATCTCTTCTTAAACTGCTAATGGTTTCCCTGCACATAAAATAAAGCACTCATCACTGCCATGCAATGGCATATAGAAGGCCAGTGATGCAGGTGGTAAAAGAAATTACCCAGAGTACAAAAACACATAGAATTTACTGAAATACACTGCAAGAGAGCAGCAGACAAGTTCCCAGAGAGGAGTTCACATGTTCACATGGCTAAAAGCAGATGGAAATCCTTTTTTTTTCCTGGTCTTTTTGAGACAGGGTCTCCCTGTAGCCCCAGCTGTCCTGGAACTCACTATGTAGACCAGGCTGGCCTTGAAAGCACAGAGATCCACCTGCCGGAAATATTTTACAGTAGTGGAGGGGAAAGTTCCTCAGTCTTATCTCCCTGGCCATTTATGTGGGATGCATATCTAGATACACTGGGAGGGATCTTTCTGTCTTGTTACTTAGTACATTTCACAACACAATTGTTTTCTTTGTTTTCTATAATTTTTGTTAAACATTAAATATTTTCAGTGGTCTTTCTCCTTTGAATTTACCTTTTGTGGAGATGTTTATAGGCTGCTATATAATTTTTTTTAAATGGGAAACTGAAGTTTATTTATCATATATACAGGTCATGTCTGACACTGAGAAACTGAAAAGGCTATTTACATAAAATATAGATTAACGCGGGGCATGGTGGTGCACACCTTTAATGCCAGCACTTGGGAGGCAGAGGCAGGCAGATCTCTGTGAGTTCAAGGCCAGCCTGGTCTACACAGTGAGTTCCAGGACAGCTGGGGCTACAGGGAGACCCTGTCTCAAAAAGATCGAAAAAAAAAAAAGACAGATAGATAGATGATAGATAGATAGATGATAGACAGACAGATAGATAGATAAATAGATGATACATTAAAAATACATACAATCTGTATTTTAATAGGATAATAGCATCCTAGGAGTCAAACAGAAGCTTGATCCCAGCATTTGCATCATGTGGTTAATTCACTCTGACACCAAAAGCGAGTGAAAGGCACCTCGGCAGTGTGCTTCTCAGGGGTCAAACACTAATGTACCTCACATGCACGACTTTGCACCCCTAGAGGAAGACACAATCTCTTCAGCACATGTCCCAGAATCTGAGCCTTCCACTTCAGAATCCTCAAGGGTGTCCTCTTCAGAACCAAATTCCTGACTATCTGGTGACTCCAAACTATCCAGAAGTTCATTAGACAGCCTCTCGGTGACCTTGTACTGTACATGTTCTGCCACTTCTGACAACTCCCAGTTCTCCTTTTTCAGGTGGGTGATTTCACTGTCCTCTGTTCAATTTCTTTATGAAGCTTCTCATTTTCTTTAAGCGCTTCATAGAGAGCCTTCCTCTATTTTTCTGCCACTTCTCTCCAGTATTGAGAGGATAGATTTTCTTTCTTCATAAGATCAGCTGCTTCCTGGGTGACTCCTTCAACATTTTCACTAGACTCTGGGCCAGAGCTGCAAGTCTTGGATGTTAACCGGCCATTCCAATGTTTGCTTTCGGACAAGCCTTTCAGTAACTCATTTTCTCTGCCAACGAGGGACCCATCTGCAGAAGGCTGAATCATTTTCAGAGTTCTTCTTGAGACAGAGCTGTTCTTCATGTTCTGTGGAATTCCTTCTTGTTTTGGCTTCAAACTGAGCTCGCAGCAGGCCGAGCCAGACTGAATGACTCGAACCTTCAGCCTGCACCTGCTGACCTGCGGATGCAGCCTATAAGTTTCATATCTATTTTTATGTCATATAATATTTTATACATTTGTAATATTCTAATTTCCAACCACTTTCCTGTTTAAAATTGTGGATCCTTTCCTTTTTAATTTTTTTGCAGCTCTTAAACCTGATCAGCAGCTTAAGGTGCCATGAGTCATTAGGAATTAAGCCTCCAGATGCCTGAAGAGCCAAAACAAGTCACTAGGGGTCAGGCTCCAAATAGCCACAGCCTGATTATTAAAGTACGGGGATTTTGTTTTATTTTTGGCCTTTGTCTCTAAAATCACCACTATTCAGACACTTGCCCAACTCCAACTCACAGAACTCTTTCAATCTTCTTCATATTATTTTAAACTATTAAAGTGGTAAGCCTTATTAACACTGTCACACAACTCCAGAACCCTCAAGTCCTATGTCAACACCTCACAAGGCAGTCATCATCAACACAGAACCAAAAGGATCTACCATGCTTGCCACATGTTGTAGTTTTCAGGACCCTTGTAAGTTCTAGAATTATATTCTCTAGTCCTTTACATCAAAATAGGTAAGTAGCTTCAAATAATTCCTACAAAGACATCACCGCCCTGGGTTCAATTCCCAGCACTACCAAAAAATATAATAAAGATATCTCAGGGCCAGGGGTATAGTTCAGTGGTAGAACATGTGCCTTAATAAAAAAGGAAAGAAGGAAGGGAGGAAGGGAAGAAGGGAGAGAGGGAGGGAGGGAAGGCAGAGGGAAGGAGGGAGGGAGGGAGAAGGAGAGAAAGAGAGGGAAGGGGAGAGGGAGGGAGAGGGAGGGAAAGGGAGAGGGAAGGAAGGAAGGAAGGAAGGAAGGAAGGAAGGCAGACAGACAACCTCCCCCCAAACTACAAACAGGCAGTAAGAAAGAGGTAGCCCTGACAGGGTGACTCCTTGTTGGAACTTGTGTCAAAACAAAACAGTAAGCCAGGCATGGTTGCACACGCCTTTAATCCCAGTACTTGGGAAGCAGAGGCAGATGGATCTCTGTAAACCAGCCTGGTCTACATAGCGAGTTGGGGCTACAGGGAGACCCTGTCTCAAAAGATTAAAAGAAAAAAAAAAAAAAAAAAACAACCAGTGAGGAGCCAGTAAGATGGCTCAGCAGGTAAAGGCACTTGCTGCTATACCTGATCACCTGAGTTCAACCCCAGAAGCCACATGGTAGAAGGAAAGAACCAACTCCCACAAGTTGTCCTCTGTCTTCCACATGGTGTACACACACATATACACACAAATACATAATAAATAAAATGTAAAAAATAATCATTTTAAAAACAATGAATGATTAATCAGACTGAGACAAAATAATTTTAGGTAAATCATGTTCCTTTTAAAAACTTTCACTATAATGGCAAAGAAAGAATTATGTATTTTTAAAATCTTTCCTTTTCTTTACTGGCAAAGAAAGAATTATGTATTACTATAATATCTACTCTGTGAGCATCAGGTACATAAAAAGGTAAAAATGAAAGAGAATACATGAAGTTAAAAATAGCTAGTATATAGGGTGGGGGGACCATGATTCCTATGACCCTATTAGAAAATTTCTTAATATAGTTGTAGTGCATTTTTAAAAAATGCATAATGTATTGAGGCTGGAGAGGTGGCACAGTGGTAAAGAGCACTGGTTGCTCCTGCAGAGGAGCCAGATTTGGCTCCCAGCACCCACATGGTAGTTAACAACTGTCTGAACTCCAGTTCCAGGGGATCTGACACTCTCTTCTGTCCTCCGCTGGCACAGCATGCACATGGTGCACTTACATACATGTGGGCAAAACACTCATCCACATAAAAATACATAAATTAAAAAAATGTAGTATATAATGTGGAGGTGATAGAAACTACAGAACATGAGATAGGCATATCGTGGCTTGGACAGACAGAGAGGAGATGTACAGTAGGGCAGTGGTGAGTTTCACCCAAGACATCTGCAATAGTGCCCATCCCACTCTGGGACCAGACAACAGAGACTATGCTCACCTGCTCCTTGGTCATGTTCTTTGGCGCGAGCCCATCAACAACGGGGATGCCTTTGGCTTTGCCTTTCTTCCCTTTCTTTTTGGGTGCCTTTGTTTGAAGAAGAGATGACTGAGTAAGTAAGGGCCACTCTCTAATGGCTTCCTTTCTTGACTTGACTCTGATTTGCTCCCATGGGCATATGGGGAAGGAGCATCTGTTTAGAACCTCTAGCCCTACACACACACACACACACACACACACACACACACACACACACACACACACCGTTAACACATTTGGAGAAGCACAAATGAGAAATCTTCCTCTTCAGAAAAGAACACTCTCTTTCTAAAATTAAAGAAGAAACCTACTACAAACCCATTCACCCCCGGACATAAGACAAAGATTTCTTTGGTGTCAATGAAAAACTTACTTGGGCTCAAAAAGGTCACCCCCAATGCCACACTGCAGAATTCTGGCTATAATGCATCATAACCACCACAGAAACACATGCAAGAAATTAATCAATACATGCAGAGAATTGCTCAACAGCCTTTTAGCTGAGATCAAATATCTGTTCTTATCTGTTTAAAGGTAGGGAGAACTGAGTTTCAGAGCAATGACTAGATGTGATAATCTGAGGCTTCCTTTCTTCAAAATACAAAACTCTTTCAGAGAACCTTGGTCAGGAAAGACTAGCTGAGCATGATGGCATGTGCTTTAATCCTAGCACTCAGGAGGCAGAGACAGAGGCAGGTGGCTCTCTGTGAGATCAAGGCCAGCCTGGTTTACATAGCTCCAGGTCAGCTAGAGCCACAGGGAGACCCTGTCTCAAAAAGACCAAAAAAAAAAAAGAAAAAAAAGAAAACAACAACAACAACAAACAAACAAAAAAGACTGCAAACAACACACACTGTGAGTGCTCCATAAATGGGTTACTGGGAGGCCCGGCGTAGTGATGCACACCTTTAAGCCCAGTACTCGGGAGGCAGAGGCAGGTGGATCTCTGTGAGTTCGAGGCCAGCCTGGTCTACAGAGCAAGTTCCAGGCCAGCTGGGGCTACAGGGAGACCCTGTCTCAAAAATACAAAAAAAGAAAAGAAAAGAAAAGAAAAGGGGGTGTGTGTGTTACTGGATGTAACGGTTCATGGGCCCACACTTTGACAAGATCATAAAGGCCTTGAGGGAAGATTCAACATCAAGCTCCCAGGCAGGAGTTCTCCCACAGGAAGATGCCATCACTACAGCTGACGATGAACCATCTCTTCTTGGTGCACCTGCCTAGAAACTGCATTACTGACAACTGCTATAACCTAAATGGGAGGTGCCTCGCAAGACCTGAGGAGACAGGAAGATTCTGCCTTGTTCTTCTCAGAAGGGGTCTGAGGTCCCTGCACCCCAAGGCGGTGCTCTGGGCACCCCATGGCACGCGACTCTCTGACTAGACAAGAGATTCCTCCAACCACCGTAGTATGCCCTAGATTCTCAATTCCAGACAAAGGTTCTGGAGTTTCTCCCGGTACTAACTCTCTGCTCCCTGTGGGCTCTTAAGTGCCTCAGGACCCCAAGTGGTGAAATCCTAAATCCCAAGGATCTGACAGACGCAGGGTCTCTGTTTTGGACACCTTGCACACCAGGCTCTCGGTCTGCCAATTTCTAAGACCACCCCAGTGACCACAGGGTCCTGCAGAGCCAAACCTTAGTTCGAGTGTATGCAGTCCCCGGCATCCTGTCTTCCCCCACTGAGACCCCACGGAAGCGCCAAGCTTCCAGGAATCCAGAGCTGCAGGCCGCTCACCCCCGGCCTCCCAGTCCCCGGGATCTGTCCTGCCACGCATCTCTGTGCGAAGGGCCCCCTGTCCCGCCCCAGGTTCCCTGCGCACTCGAGACCCAGCGCACCCAGCCGCCCACTCCTCACCATGCTGCCAGCGGTCTGAGTCACTGCGGCCCAGGGATAAACGAGGCGGCCTGCAGAGGTTGCGCGGTCTCCAGGCAACCAGGACGAGATCCCGCCCTAGGTCTCAAATCCTCGCGAGTCTCCGTCTGCTGAGAGGGACATCTGGGAGTGCGTCCTTAACAACACGCCAGGGGAAGATGGGAGCTAGAAGTAGCAACTGCAGGGATTTGCCTTAAGTGTATTGTTTATTGTTGGTCTCCCCTTCTAGAACTTAAGTTCCAGAAGAGACGATCCTTCTGTGTTTCAGCACCTACATGGCAAGTGCTCCGGAAGGAGTAGTTGAAGGAAAGAATGGCTGAATGATCAATCTGCTACCCGAGGTCAGAGACAATCCCCCAAATTGGATTCAGATGTGCATTAAGAAGCCTGCTTATGTCCCTCTCGGAAAGCCACCTGCTGCTCTGATGAGACTGAAAATGCATTGTTGGTCTTCAGAAAGGCTCAGAAAAGAAAAAAAGAAAAAGGCTGAACATGGTGACTCAATCTTGTATATCCCAGCACTTGGGAGGCTGAAATGGAGATTGCCATGAGCTGGAAGCTAGGCAGGGCTAGTGAGTTCCAAGCCAGCCAGAGTTACATAGCAAGACCCAGTCTCCAAAAACAGCCAAGAAAACAAAATGGTCTTGCAGGACTGGGACTGGGGCTGTAGTTCAGTAGCAGAGTATTTGCATAACCATGACAAGCATCCTATGTTCACTCCCCAGAAGCGGGGATGGGGTGGGGTGGGGTTAGGGTGTGTGTGTGTGTGTGTGTGTGTGTGTGTGTGTGTGTGTGTTATGATCCTGCAGCAAGTCATTCTTCCGTGTCAATTTTTGGGATGAAGATTCCAGAACCACAGATGAACTTGGGCATCCAGCCGTTCCCATGCAGTCAGAAAAGCTAAGCTTGCTCAGTATTGGGGATCTGAGAGTCATAGCAATGAGTTCCTCTTGTTTACCCACCCGACATACATACATACATACATACATACATACATACATACGCACGCACGCACACACAGGTTCTTGGAAAAGAATAGCCAATGGAAGAACAGCTCTTATTTGGTGTACACAGGGCTCTAACAGTGGCCTATTTATCATAAACCCCAACATGACTGTGCCAGACTGCTTGCCTGACAGTGAACTCCAAAGGTGAGCATAGAGGGGTTAGGAGTCTCCCAAAGGAAGTTTGGCAGGACAGACTCGTAGCATGAGAGAGTAAGTAATTATTTATCACTTAGCCACAACACACTATGTGCTTCATGTTGATTGGCTTTTTATTAATCTGGTGGGGGGCTCCATGTTGCCTGGTTTTCTCACCAAATGGTGGTCTGTTTGTTTAAATAAATGCATTAACAATAACCCCATTCATCAAAAAGGGCAATAATAGGAAAATTAGTTCAGGATAGGCTAGACAGGACATTCATTTGCCACAAACCAGTAGCACAGTTTGACTCATCACTATGAGATTACAGAGATGAACAGTTTAAGGAGCACAGGCTGAAGATTCCCTAGTCTCCCAACAAGACCCACTCTTTTGGGCTTTTTTCATGTTGAATTTGAGTTATGATATCAGATAAGAGCCTTTTTTCATATGTACAACTTAAGAAAGTTTAAGTCAGCATCAAGCTGTGCTGCTCAGGAGCCCAGACAAATGGTATTAGAGTTTTCTGCAAAATCCCAGAGCAAACATTAATACCCACAAACCAATTGCCTAATGTGTCAGTGTTTGGCTCCTCTTAGAGCTATGTCCAGGTATACTACTTCAGGCCACTTATATCAGTTAGCTGAAGACTTGACTGTTGCGGTAACAAGACTAGCCTTTGTTTTAGAAGTAAATGTAGAAATATTTGAAAATTAAAAGGTTTCGTGAAATTTCTTTCATGCCAGCTGTGGTGGCTCACACCTTTAATCCCTCTTCTCAGGAAGCAGAGGCAGGTGGATCTCTATGAGTTCAAGGCTAGCCTTGTCTATATATCAGGTTCCAGGTAAGCTACAGCTATAGGGAGACCCTGTCTCAAAAAAGACCAATAATAATAATAATAATAATAATAATAAATTTGTATATTTCAAATAACAATAATAAAATAAAAGCATTAGAAGCTG